TTGGTTAAGAAACTATATCGCAAAACAACAGTAAATTGTGTGAACGATATTGTTGAAGTTGTGAAAAAATCGAGTACGACTGGATTAAATAAGGCTCAACGTTATGACAACGGAAAAGGCTTTCAATACTTAGATTTTAACTCTGTTGTTGGGGATTTTCTTGAGTGGTTTACAAAATATCAGCATTTTCTCTTTGAAGCAGCTAATCCTGGAATTGTCAAAGCCCAGCTGATTGCCAATGGCGCCTTTACTGAATTTAATTTGTTAAAAACTAAAAAGCAAGTATTTCTGAATTTACCAAAGAAATTAAATCTTTTTCTATCCTGGTACTAACCCCTCCTCCTTTGGATTACAAAAAGCAGGAGTATCTTTACCAAAACATTCGTGCATTGGTCAGAGATGAATTTAAAGACATTACTTGTCCAAAGCCAGTTTAAATATTCTAAAACAAATGATTGTCTTTTTAAAAGAACAAATGGGTTATAAGTAAAGTTCTGTAAATGGAAAAAGTATTATTAATTGGCTTTTCTTTAAATACTGGAGGTTTTGCTAATTGCTGAAATTGAATCTTAATCTTATTGGCCAACAATTTGACTCTGGTTTGTTTTTTGGCTAAAGAAGGTAAAGGTTTAGGGATTTATTTTTCTCGCCATTCCTTAATTTCTTTAGCAAGTATTTCTTTAATTTCTTTTTCTTTTCTGGCTCTGTCTTGCAATGCTTGAATGCCAGGCATTGCAGTATTGACAGCCTCTTGAAGGTTAGCTAAATATTCTGTTCTTCTTTTTCCAAATCATTTATATGGTTTTGACAATCAGCAATTTCTTTTAAGTATTCTTTTCTTTTTTTGTCCTTTTCAACTAATTCCTTATAAACCAACTGTTGAAGAGCTACCATTTCTTCAATGATTAGATTTAGTTCAACAGGTAATTTATTTTGAGAGTAGAATTTCTTTCGTGCTAATACTAAATACTCTGTAAATAAAACTGGTTGGTCTAGAGGTTTATTAAATTTACTGACTATTTCTCATTGTCTTTCTCAGCTTCTTTTGATAATCTCTTTTGCTGAGTTCATCTGGCTCTCTCAGAGCTTTTTTAAACTACCATTGTAATCAGCAAAGTCTTGGTATTCAGTATTGCAATATGTTACTTTTTGTTTATTATTTATGTTATTTCGTTTTTTCGATAAAGAATTACCCGCGATTCCGATCATAATAAATATTTTCATGGCTTATCAGTTCAATTATTTTTTTATATATAGAGGTAATCCTATATTAATCACATTATGGTTTATATTCATCACCTTCTGGTATGATAAAGTGAGCATTAAAATCAACCAGTCCATAAGCATCATTCTTACTTCAAAACGTCATCAGTCATACTGGTCAATTTTACAGTCACATCATAATTAGCCCCTCATTTATGCCACATAATAGAACGTTCACTTTGTCTGGTTTTGTTGCAGTCTGTATCTGCCCCAAGTAATCTAGATGATTTTAACTTTTTCTCATGTTTGAAAGATTTAATACGCAAAAGAAAAATAATATTAAAAAAGACTTTATGTTTTTGTGTTAGTTGCGTATTTTGTCTTGACAAGCTCCACCTTTCATACAGTGAGTGACGAAAAAAAGTTGTCATTTTTGATAACTTCCCTACCAATTTGAGCGCGCAAAACGCGTCGTGACATTATGCATAATTATCAAACGATAAAAAAATGGTTTCCTCTTCAGTTGGCAAAAGCTTTATGTGTAAACCTTGACTTATTTACGTAACATATTTGTCAGGGGGAGATAAGCTGATGTAGAGCACCCAATGCTTTGTTTTTGAGAGACGCTTTCTTTTTTGAGGGGGGGGGGGGGGGGGGAATGCTTGACCCCTACATTTTGTGTGGCTAAATTGTGGCGTTGTAATTTACCCCCTGAATTTTGTTTGCAGATAAATAATCATTTATAGCAAGAAGGTAGACTTTATTATTGCACCTTCGATTTTACTATTATTTTTCCCAATGTCTTCAGCCTCCGAGTTAGCAGGGATCGAGGTTGTTCATGGCCTTGAAGAGTTTCAAGAAGGCGGAGAACAAATCCTTGTCCTTAAAGATTCCACCATCCTCGAAAATGAAGGTACGCTTTCTTTTGCTTCACTCTTTTCTTTCACGCCGTGTATCTACATCCTTCCCTATAAAAAATAAATTCTTTTCCTGTCTCTCAACTCTAAACAGGATCATTGAAACTTTGATGTCTAATTTATCCCCAAACTTCATAGAGGAAGGAGATCGGCTTGTCAGCATACAACTTGAGGAGAAACAACGATTGAAAAAGAATTTGGAAAACAAGAAGAAGAAACCATTATATACTGGATATGATGACGAAGAATTTTTAATTGGAGGAGGGCAGAAGAAGACGTGGTTGAGTCACTATGACGAAGAGATCAATGGGCCTAAAAGTGATGTGAGTGTTCGTTTTTTTTGTTTTGGAATCACATATCTATTGCGAATGATCTTGTTATATGGAAAACAGGAAATATTGGTTTACGAATCTGGAAATCTTATGACGCTACAAGTGACTAGTCATTGACTGCAACCCTTTCTATATTTACAGTCATTTAAGCTCGGTGGGGACGGGACAGTTAAATTGAGTGAGGTAGAAAAGAAAAATGAAATTTCCGAGAGACTAAAAGCTCGAGCAATATCGTTACAATATGATAGTAAGAGTTGAAAGTTTTATTATTTGGGTCTACTTTACACTAGATGACGACAATTAGAATAACTAAATATTTGTAATTTTTGTAGAAATGAGAGAGATACAAGATTATTATACTAAAGAAGAGGCAGAAATTACATTCAAGAAGCCAAAGGTAAGAAAAATTGTCTTCGTTAGTGTGATACTGTTCTTTATACCTTCTTGTCTACAGTTACGTTCTTCTGTCTTATACTTTTAGTCAAAGAAGAAGAAAAAAGTAAGAAAGAAAACAGTTGAAAAAGATGATGACAACGTTCAACTTCAGCAAACTCAGAGCGAATCTAACTCAAATGAAGATTCTATAACAACGCAAGTTGCACAGAGTAGGAGACAAGCGAACTTGGATGATGTCAATTTCGTAGACGATGATGATTTGCAGCAAGCTCTTGCTAGGGCGAGGAAGATTGCTTCAAAGAAGGCAATTAAATCTCAACCTGAATCCATAGCCGAAAGTTGTATGTATTCACAATTATATGACTATTCGATGTAATTTATTGTGTTTATTTACATTTACACGTATTAATGCACCCTATTTCATCCATTATCCAGTGGCCGGAATAAGAGACGTTCAGTCAGATGACGAAGATGCGAACTCCTCCAGCTTTGTAATATCAGATACATCTGAATTTGTCCGCGCTCTCTCTATTGCCCCGGTCCCCGCCAAACCGTCAGCGCCTTCTCCAAAACCTTCAGCATCTCAGCCTCCCAAACCCGCTTCTGGACCTTCATCCGATGTCGAGCAGCAAGAAGACCATTCCTCATCTGATAATGAATCCTCCCGTGGTGGATGGAAATCGGCTGGTGTAGTAGAATCACTAGGCCTTCCCCAAATTGGTGAAGAAACGAAACTAACCGGAGTCGTGGAAGAAGAACCGTTGGTTAGTCAGGGAATGGCGGCTACTCTAGCTCTTTTGTCTCAAAAAGGATTTTCAATAAAGCCAAACGAAGAGCAACTGGAGAAGGAGAGGATCCAGAAAGAGAGACAAAAGTGGTTATTAGAACAGAAAAAGAAGGATCTAGAGAGGCAATTAGAGAGAGAAAAAGAGAAGCAAAGAGCTAAAGAGAAGGGTTATAGAGGTGGCGGCGGGAGGGAAAACGATAATAGTTATAGAGATAGAGAGCATTTGAGAGAAGTTGAAATGAGGTTTAGGGATTATAAACCGGATGTCAACTTGGAATACGTGGATGAATTTGGAAACCCTCTAACGCCTAAAGAGGTACGAGAATTTGCAAAGCAGTAGGGGGGTGGGGTTTGGATAATATTTCGTTCGTCTATTTACAAATACTGCATGACAACTATTCTGTTTGTCAAGAGTTTTTGAGGCAGACATCTGTTTTAATAATTAATTGTATGATCTATCTTTATTAGGCTTTCCGTCAATTATCACATAAATTTCATGGCAAGTCGTCAGGTAAAGCTAAGACAGAGAAGAGGCTTAAGAAGTTAGAAGAAGAAAGAAAATTAAAGGCTATGAGCAGTATCGACACTCCATTGAACACAGCGACAGCCTTACAGGAAAGACAGAAAGCGAGTGGGAGCGCACACGTTGTGCTATCTGTTGGCAATCGAGCGTGAGTATGCGCTTCGTTATTGTATTAACCACCGTAGTTATTACGTAATGATGTGAATTTAAAATATTATCAATGTTACGTTTATAGAGTTGTTCCTCCAAGTATGAATTTAAATGTAACAGGGAAGAATGAGACGGGTACCAAAGCATCAGGTATTAATTCTAATGCTCCAAGTATTATCACTGTTAACGGTGGATTGACCGGACAGAGTATGAATGCGCCTGAAAGAGAAAAGGTAAGGGTGATAACTAATTATTGTTATGATGGGTCAGACGACTATTTTAAATGCTGCTGTGAATCTAATATTGTTAATTTCGATTAGGTTACTTTCGGGCTCAAACGTAGAGCAGAGCAAGATCAAGATAAACCATCGAAAAAACGGTAATCTTTGATTCGACCGTTGCCTTCCGTGGATTATTGTATTTGTAGATTTAAATGAATAAACAAACGAATCTTGCCATGCGTAAACATAAGTTTGAAAGAAAATAGAACGTTAGTTTAATTTAATATCTAGTATCGTACTAGAATTTCTACGTCTTTTAATCATTTATTGTCTTTTTCTGATTTATACGATCTTTTCTGAGTGATCAGCATCGATATTTCACCAAGCTATGACAGTAGAACCAACTGCTTTTGTTGAAACTCATTTACGCAGTAATAAACATCAAATGATGCTTATTTGATATCGGCCTTTTTCAAAAATCTTTTGAAAGCGATCTGTTAATTCAGATAATTACAGATGTGGCCTTGTTCGACGTATAAATAAGCAGGAGCTCCCTCATCAAGAATATCGCATGATTAGAGAAACATGAAATATCTTCCAGTACTAGTACGTACAGCCGTATATATATCTCTCGTGTTCCACATAGACCTGTTCTCTCGATCGCAGTCTATTTAGCATAGCTTTAACATAGTTTGTGTTTCCCATTTGGTCCCCAGGTTCATGAATTCTTACATGCGAGTATCTTTTTCCTCGGCAAAAATTGTTTGCCCCCAGGCACTAACGATAGCCGCAAACGAAAGCAACGCTACAACTTTACCAAATCTCTTTGCCAAAGTTTCTTCCATGCCTCTCTCTTCTTGGGCCTGTCTAATTTTCTCTTCTTCTCTTAACTTTCTCCTTTTCTCATATTCATAATGTCTCTCAAAATGATTCTGAAAGTTAAATTTTACATTTTTGTAACGTTCAAAATCGTTCTCACGAACTCTGTAAGACGTATGCCGATAGTGAGCAGCGGCAGCAGAGGAGGAATATGACCAGTGAGAACGATGGGTTCGAGATCTAACACCGACCATTTTGTGTTTTATAGATCTGTCATATTCACGTCGTTTTGTGTCGTCGCTGAGTATAGAATAGGCTTCATTGATTTTGAGGAATTTTTCATGTGCGGACTCGTCGCCGTGATTGAGATCAGGATGATATTTCTTAGAGAGTTGGTAAAACTGGGCTTTGATTTGAGATTTGTCTGTATCAGGGAACACGCCGAGAATATCGTAGTATTCTCTAGATAGGCGAATTGCGGTGGAGAAGGCACGGTAATTAGCGGGGTAAGTCAAAGGTGAGTAGAAAGAAGGTTGAAGAAGCAATGAGGATTTGAGTGGGCAAATATAGCGGGGCATAGATTAAAGTTGACAGATCGGTTTCAAATTGGGGACCGAGAGAAAATCGTCATTTTACGATTACAGGGGTGTATTTAGTACATTGACTTAATTTCCATTTCCAGTCTCGATAAACCAACCAAGCTTGATATCGAAATCACATGATTAAACATTATGTATTAAAACGGCTTTTGGAGTTCATCCTTAAAGCTTCAGCACCCACATATACTCGTTTATTATCAGACACGACCCTAAATTCTAGCCTAAATTCAAAAGTCGGTTTAAGTTTAATCTGTCACAATTAATAATCGAATCGTACAATAATCCTCAGACTAGCTTCGACTTGCTTTTTTCTTATTTATTTCTGATAATACGGAACAATTTACGCCTAAACATTCTATTGATGTACGTAATTTAATTCATATGGGATGATCTAAGCTATCTTATCTGCAATATGGACTTTGCAAGCTCTTGTTAATAATTTCACCAAGAATGGGACACATTTGTTTATATAAAACGGCTTAGTCTACACCATAAATAATATTTGGTTATAATCATAATGTTCGTTCTGCCAATAATGAACGAATGCGAGAATTTTATTTCGTGTCGCAGCGGGATATATTTATAAATTGTCACGGACAAGGCTTTTTGAAACATTAGCCGAGGTTTTTTTGGTGCAAAGGCAATTTCCGACTAGGCTTGGTATGGAAAGCAAAAGTAAGTTCATTCTCTTATAAGCGCTAGTGAGAAATGCAATCAAGCTATTGGACAGAAATTGATGATAATGCATCGCAATTCTATGACGCCGAGAGTAAACAAAAGAGTAAAAAATAAAAGCAGTTTTTGTAAAAGTTTTATTGCTAGTTTGATAGTAGCATATTTAGACTTATAACTGTAACGCACATGTGACATGTTATAGTTGGATAATATTGGCGAGCCAAAAAACTTAATTTAATGTCTCAAATGTTGGAAGACTTATCAAAAAACCAATTAACCCAATGAACAATTTTAGATGCGAGTTTCTAAACCAGAACTTGCATAATTATAACTTTATTACTCGTAGGCAGATGTTCTGTAGGCAGTCTCCTCGAACAAAATTGCAATAGTTATGTAATTAAAGCAAAATTAACACTCGTTCAATTTCATGTAGAATAGTGAAAGAAAAAAAAAGACGCAAAATATTTTCTCGCAATATGAGGATACTAACGTGCTTCATAATGTGTCAAAGACTCGATGCGCAGTCTCCGTCTAAACGTCTGAAACGGTATCTCAGATGAATAGCGACGATGCTGAATGTATTTGTAATAAAAAATGAAAAACAATCAGTAATTTGACTGGGTTTTACAAATTTTAGCTCTAGATTTGGTTTTCGCTTACACCGTCCGCGTCAAATAAGGCGTAGCTAAAATTGCAGGCGGCTCTTAAACCCTTCTATTACTAAAGTATAAACTCTTTAGATTATCTAATAACACAAAGCATCGATAATCAAACTATTTCTTTTGTCTGGTCCGATGTCTCAATGTCCATTTATCTCCACTAAATGTTAATCTAATTTCATAATCTAGGTATCCGGCTTAAGTTTATCTCCTAAGCAATAGACATTTCCATCCAGCAACAACGAGATACAAAGAATTGGCTGAATCCATTGCCAAGGCCACGGGGAAGAACTATCTTTGAACAACTGCTGATAATTGGAGGCGTTTATTTCACCGACAATTATTTTACCGCCAAAATTACCCCAACATTATTTCGAAGTTATGTATTAACTATAAAAGGGTAATACAGTACATCGACGCGTCTAATCAAGAAATTTCTTATACTTGTTTGCATGCATCTAGTGAATAAGTCAGATTAATAATTGTTCAGTGAACCCTCTCTAATATCTAGCCCGTTAAATCAACCTCTCTCTATTAGCAACGGTGGTTACAGAACAAGATTTCCTATATATAAATTCGTCCGCACATATTTCCTTGATAGTTCTATCAACATATATCCAGATTTTACTCTTAATTACATTCTCCTCGCTGACATCAATATTATATAGAAATTGTTATTTTAAATTTAAATTTTTGATCTACAATATATTGCTTATCTATTATTGTCTTTCTATAACACGATTCACAGACAACAAAAAGTTAACAGATTTTTATCAAAGAGAGAACCACTTAATTGCCAATATAATAAGTGTGACGCCGTTATTTAAACCGTAAACCCAACTCCCCTATGACCATCCCCGCATATATCAACAAAACTGACCGATCCCGTGAGATTGATATTAGAAAGAGTTCACTGTAGTTGATAAATTTATTAATTTCACTATCGATCGTTAGTGTATTATATTAGAGCTTAAGAATCTGCAACAATTCTCATTCGATGTGATCTTTACACGCGCCGCGTTAGTCGATTATCACATGTGATAACTTTCTCTCACTTCTCGATAAAGAAATCTGATGAAGATCGAACCATGTGCTGTACGACCATAAAAATACCAGAAAAAAGTGCCTGAATCATGGACCATAATCCGCAATACTCTTTTTCGCAATAATGGCTGAAGTTATAAACTCCATAATAGCATCTGTAAACTTTTCTGAGCGGACCTTTTGGATATCCTTCGCTTCTATTACGTTCAATCCGTTATGGTGGAACATAGTCGCAAGATACGGTGAGTGAAGCTATTATATGTTTCGGTGAAAGTGTCTATGAATGCAACTGACCCAACTTGCTGTGACATTGGGAATAGAATATAAAACGCATTTTATTACGAAACTTGTTGGAGGAAATCCTTATTATGGGTGTTATGTATTGGCTTTAGCCATCTTTAGTTTGGGGATACTTAGAGACTACTTGTAAGTTAACTGCTTTCTTGATTTTAGTCTGTCGGCGCATCGATTAATGACAACGCTTACCGAATGTTACAAGATATAAGAATGCGATTGAAAATCAGCCAGTTTTTTCCGAGTTAGATACGCCAATTGTTAAGACGATTGCATCAACGCTTTCGACCGCTGGCATTGTATTCGTGCTTTCTTCCATGTATGCATTAGGCGTGACTGGAACTTATCTCGGTAAGCGTGCTAAATGCAATCTTATTTTCATATTATCGGTATCTCATTGGGGTTATTTACAGGTGATTACTTTGGCATATTAATGGATGCGCGAGTGACATCATTCCCGTTCAATATACTTGAAGATCCTATGTATTATGGCTCTACAATGATCTTTCTTGGGACAGCGTTATGGTGAGAATAAGACATTTGATCAATCGTAGGCACAATTATATATTTACGGATTATTACTTTACTGTCATCATTGAACAGGTATGCAAGCCCCACTGGAATTTTACTTACAATCTGGGCATTTATTTGTTATTTAATTGCACTGCGATTTGAAGGGTAAGTCTGCATTTCCAATTTAAGGAAACATTCAGATATGCTAACTGACATTGTTTATTAGCCCATTCACTGCATCGATTTATGAAAAGAGAGATCGAGAAAGGAAAGCAAAGAAACATTAAAACAGAAAGATCGAGTGCTACTGTCGAAATTTTGTATGACATCAAAAAACAATTAACAATTTAAGTGAATAAAAAATTTGCGACATTGTGTGACTCGCCTACTGGTGATAATTACAATAAGCATGGTTACTATGTGAATAGACTTGCTGCATGTTTTTCGTAATAATTTGGACTTATCAAATGATTATCAAAGCGAACATTAGGCTTAAAATGTCGATAGAAATAAAAAATAATGAGATGAATAAAGATTGTTATTCGCCACGGGAGTGCTAAAATGATTTGGTGTGGGGAGTGAGTGACTCGAACACCCAACCTTCCGCTCTGGAGGCGGACGCGCTACCATTGCGCCAACCCCCCATTTTGTAATTTTCCCTTCACATAATCATTCTAAAAGTTTTATAGATATTTGCGCAGAAGACCATGTCATGTGAAAATCTTTGACGAAAATATAAGAGCTGCGGAAATTAACATGCTAGCGCTGAAGCTATTTGAAATGAAAACGACCTCTGTATCCGCAGTATCAATTACTCCCATTCGGAATTCAAATTGCAAGATGTTAGGACGAACGGAACTGTTTCTCACACTACAGAATGGACTATTACTAATAATATGTTTGTATTCTTACATTATGAATGGAACAATATTTATAGCTGCGGCCTATATGACATGGTACACAACGCGGCGTCCAATGAACGATTTCAGATCCTTAATATCTCGATTAGTGCCAATTGTTGAACTTCTATTTACGATAAGGAATATTAACATGTGTAATTATAAGAGTTTACATTCATGTATGTCAACGAAGCTAGTTCAGTTTTCTATTTCTCAATTCATAAGCATAACCATTTTTGTACACAAACGAAATTCTGTTACGATGCGTAATCACAATATTAAGTAGTTTTTCAAGAACTTTTGGATCATTGATGGAAAATAGATCTAGCGATTCCGAACACCGCGGATAACCCGAAAGCTTTTATCACATGTCGTTACATCTAAAATTTCAGGGTCTTTATCACCCCATTTGATCGCATTCCGCAATAATTGCGAATCATTATAATAAATGTTTAATTGTTTGTTTAAATTGTTAGTAGTTTATTAACGGATCTTTAAACATTCTCTTACACGTAAGAGTCCGAGCACACAATTTGCCGCAAAAATAACAATTTACATGAGTGCAGCAAATTAGGAGTGAATATAATGTGAGCTTGTGATTTAGAAAATTCGAACATGGCACCTGGATAGAAGTGCTAAGAAATCGTTAAACTAATTAATAGTCGAAAGATCATTGTTAATAAACTAGCAGCAGAGAAAACATTTGAAGTTACAATAACCGTATTAGTATATCTAGAAATAATTTACATATTCAATCCTCTAATTAAAGAGTATAATTAATATTAATGTGCAAATCATTGTTCCAGCTTGCAGTTTATAATTTAGGATTTGACCACTTTAGTCAGTAGATTTAATAACATTTCTCATTTACACGTATTCGGCATTTATCTGTTTCGCTTCATATCATAATGACTGTGTTACTCAACTGTAACCAGAAAACAGAGTTTCGCCGTTATTCGTAAACTTGAATATTATAACCTTCCGAAAAGGTTAGGTTTTTAGATAAAGTGATTATAAATATTTCTCGTACTTCCACTTTAAGCATAAGGCGAAAATAGGAAATGAAAAAAAATATGTGGACGTTTCGGCTTTATTATGTACTGAACATTATATTATGTTATATTATAACCCCCTTGGCATCACTGTTGTGGGAAACAAACACCTTCATGACGCCAATGCCCCGATTTGTTCTAGTTTAAGTTGATAGATGTTCCGTTTTGATTTGTCAGACTCCTCAAACCCCACAAGTATAAATATCCCGAGTATCTACGCTAGACAAAATGTAAGAAAAAGTTCGACTCGTATATGATATCTAGATTGTCGATTATTGTAAAAAATCAAGTCAAACCGATTACTCGCTATTCCGTACTTGCTTATCAGAACATGCCAAATCATCAGTTGTTGAACAAACCTGCACCTGCAGAAATCACTCTCCAAAATCAAGATGGCGTGGATGTGGAATTAAGTTCGTTTATTGGAAAGCAGCCTGCTATTGTCTTCTTCTACCCGAAAGATGAAACACTTGGCTGTACTAAGGAGGTATCTAATCATATTCGAATTCTAAAACCATACTGGCCCTTTATCGTATTCTCACATTCTATCAAACACAGGTCTGCTCATTTCGTGATGCCTATGACGTATTTCATGAAGCTGGTGCCACTGTTGTTGGAATATCGGCTGATCCGGTAGACAAACATAAAAGGTTTTCCCTCTCTAATCGGTTGAATTTCCCTCTGCTGTCCGATGTCAATGGGATAGCACGTAAAGCCTTTCATGTTCAAAAGAATCTGTTTGGTCTTGTCCCGGGGCGTGTTACGTATCTCATAGATCGAGAGGGAATTGTCCGGGACGTATTCAACTCTCAGTTGGATTTCGATGGGCATGTGAAGCGGAGTATTCAGTTTGTTAAGCAGCAAACAGCAGAATGAAACCAACGAATAAGCTGCTCTACGGCAAAGTCTTATAGTATGCAACCAAAAGTTTAATCGTTTAAGCTATCGCTAATATTAATATTGGAGTCTGTTACGAGCAGCGACTTTGGTAATAGTTAATTGTAATGTTGCGAGAATCACATGATTGTTTTAATTCTTGGCACAAAAATCAGGGCGTATTTATATTGTAATAAAGCATAATATATATTTCATACTTCAATGCTGACAAATCGTATGTTGAAAACATTACGTGTTACTGTTACCATCTTTGCGGTCTCGGGATTGGTTGTAGCGGCATGTGTGCTTCATCTTGCTGGTTGACAATTTATTTGACCGATATTTCGAAGACTGGCAATACTTCAGATTCGGCAAATCCTTCAATCAAGCCATGCAAGCTTATCCTATAAATTCCGGAAATTATAATGTACATTTTATTGTCGAAGAAACGCGCATACAGGTCGGAAATATTGTAGAAAAAAGTCACCAAATACCATGATTTAAGCAATCCACCCTTTTCCAAGCTTTGGGTTACGATACGACTGCGAGATTTAGGATAATTCCTTTAGACGCTGACACATCTGATGTCATCATAGAACAATGTTGACGAGGACGGCAAGGAATCTGTGTTTAGAGCACATTCTCAAATTGTCAGGGCTAGATATAGGAAACTTGGATAAGTAGAGAAGCGCCAAAGCTGGATCGATCGAAAGAAAATGTTATTACTTTGTCCGATATGATGTCCGAGACATTCAGGTATTGTTGAATACATATGATTTATGTTGCACGTATTATAAAAATTCAACATTTTCTGACATAGAGTTTGGTTTAAAGATACATCTACACGGAAAAGTTGGTAATTATAAACTTTTCACCAGCTGAAGTCAACTCCCTTCTCGCCACTGCTTCAGCCTATTCACTATTCAATCGCAGAGAGGGTAATGGAAGCCGTCGAAATATGAGAATCTGTGCTAAACTCGGGAAAAGCACAAGCTAACATTGAAGAAGCGGACTTGTGACAAATGGACGCCCGAAGAGAAAGAATGGATTATGGGAATATTGGAGGATGTCCTCCTTCGTGTGCGCAAATGTCTTCTACTGATATTCACTCCAAAGTTCATGCCATGCATTGATATGCTTGTCCAGATTGGAAAATCTTCTCACGACTATACGTGCTTACACTACTACTCCGAATGCGAGTTTGCGGAAGAGGGACAGTAGGATCAGGGGGAGAGGGATTCAAAGAGTATCAAGACACGACCGCGATCGATTCACGAAAGAAAAACCATCGTGTAGAATGCACATAGTAATACGGGAAAGCAGTGTGAATGACCCGCATTCAGCTGCAAATACAACGATATTTCCTATGGTTACTCCGACTTGTTCAATATCGTCTCAACTCCAGCCCGCTGATGTATACAAACTCGCCCAATATAGTCAACGTTTGGCACCGTTCCTTCGCCTCCATTCTCACCATCATTCCACTACGTTTCCACGTTCTTCTTCCATTCTTTCCAAGAATAAGATATTTCCATTTAGCCAAACAGTTTCGATATTTCCACAAACCACAATGATCATTTCGCACATCCCCCATTCAAATGTTTCACCTCTCATACACCTCCGCTCAGCTCTACACAAATGGATAAGCCATGTATTGATTATTCAAATGAGAAGAACATACATAACATGTACGGTCGAGAGAACAATCCATATAAGTACAAATGTTACGACGGATTCACGAGCGTAACAAATTAAAAAATTATGGCACAAGAGAAATCATTGGAGACTATTTCTCCCCTAGACCGAACTTCCCCATTCGTATGGAGTATGGTACCACATCTGATAGTTTCTCTTTAATTTGCATACGGAGAGAGCTGAAAAATGCCATCGGTATTCGGATATGTTGGACAATTGCGCGCGCGGCGTAGCAACATATAATTTCGTAATACGTGCGCATACGACTTTTATAAATTAAATTCGTAAATAAATGATAATCAAACCGTATATGGCACCAGGAATGACTCTATGAGGATTTCACTGATATGCTCACGCGGGAGTATAGTACAGCCCGAGAAAGATGTAGGATGATGTTCGGCTTGTTACAGTTGTTATGAGTTTATGGTTTATTCGAATCAAAGTAAAAATGCAAATACCAAATTTTGAATCATGTCCGGTAAACAAGGCATTATTTTGACTATCCAGTAATTTAGTTTAATAAAATAGATCTTTGTTGCTATCAACCAGCCCATAGCGTGTCAACATATTACTCTCATCAATGTTGCCATATACAGTGTCGCGTAAAAAAGGAGCTCAATCCTAGCCAGCTCTTTACTCAAGTTTGACACATCGCGAGACCATTACTAACTTGCATTCTATGGCTAATTATAACGTGTTAATTTGCCTAAAACAATGTATAATATAAAAAATTAAGCTGTGATTTTTGTAAGTGTTTACTGCTCTAACCGTTGTAGCAACAATTTATTATAGTAACAGATAACTGTAGTCCTATCACCGATTATTGTGCATTGGTGGTTATAGAAAGAAAGGTATGCTAAGTATGTGTTATTGTTATCGAGCGGGAGAATGATTACCGCAAAACGAGAATATTTTTGATGCTTTGTCGGTCTTACACGTTCTGAACATACTATTGCCAATTTTTATATGTTTAAGAAATTCACAGTCTTAGCAATTATTTCATTCTTTCATTGACAAATTGTACTTTTAATACACCAATTAAGCCAATTCTGTAGGGTTTCTGCAGTGGACATGGGATTGAAGACCAATCCAACAACAAAGTTCTAATAGCTTTTGTTGATATCTCGAGATATGATTTAACAGTTATTCGTGAGCTGTTCCCGTTAGTCTTACTTGGTTTGTTTCTTTTTATGTAATACTCCTTCTCACAAGCGTAATAATAAGTTTCCACGTTCACATTTTCGTAAAAAAAATTTTTAAAAAAAAAACAAAAATTGGTCGTCCGTTCGTTTCGCAAAATTTGTTTAAATATATTCATACGACTTTTATTGTAAGCTGTCTGTAACCTGAAATAACTTTAAGCTAACATCCGTATCAATTTAACAATGTTGCTAAAACTGCAGTACGTGATTGCGTAAATAATAATACCGATTGATGTGGATATACGTTAAACAAACTTATCAGACATTTTATCGATTAATAGTATCCAACCAGAGATCACTACTAATTAGTCATCAACCATTGTTGCAAATGAAGAGAAGACAGAAATGGCATGCCATCCCAATGAACGTGTCTTTTATAGATCGAACATTTCATGGGTATTATTATGAACATTGGACACGTTGAATTGCCAAGTTCAACTACTGTTAGCGTTGAATTTTGTCTGAAAAAAACACGACTCCCAGCGGTGACCCTGTCACTAGCAACATAAGAACAAGGCGAAATAACAAACAATACAGAGTTGTAATAAGGAAATTAAATATAACGCAAGGTGATAACCACTGAAAGAGATGAAACTTCTAGATGTGTTATGCTTTTAAAATTATGAGCGCGTAACGCGTTTTTAGAAATTGTCCAAATTAATTAAAATTCCAATCAATAATCTGGAGTTGTTAGATGTCCAGTTTATTCACGTTATATTGAGAAAATGTGCCCTATTACAGTTAATTTGGGTATATTTTGTCAGTAATCATAATCTTGCGGATAATTATATCCCGAAACAGTTTTTTATACATTGACGGCCCATTATGTTTACTGGCTACAGTCAAACTGATTATAACAAAGTTTGGTTATAATGAAGATTTCTCCAAAATAATTATAAACTTACTATAGAAAGTAACCTTGATTATAAGGAATTTCTGGTTATAAGGAACATTTTCTCTGCTCCCATAGAATTCGTTATAACTAGGTTTGACGGTATGTATACATGTTTCCTCTCATTATTAAAAAGCTGAATTTGATAACAGTAAGTTATATTCGGGAGGCAATCATTTCACAACATTATGGTAGTTGATTGGGCGATGCAATGTACTGTCGGTGAAATTATTGTCGACGAAATGATGCGGACCCATTATATTTGCAATCGGCAATATTGAATAAATGACACCATTCCCGGTATTACCCTCTTTCATCATGGACGTAAGAAATTTATTTCTTCTTAATGCGCGTGCGGAATACATACATTCTCGTTATACCGCATGATTTAAACTTGCCAATAAAAAATTTCTTAAAGCTTTGATTTCCTTTTACGAGTTGCTGACATTAATTGAATATAATTGATTAATAAACTGTGTTACACACAAGCTGATTTAATGAATCTTTTACACTTACTATCCAAGAAATCAGAAACTGCTCGTCTCGATTCGGAAGACAACATTCTGCAAAAATATGCATGTAATGAAACAATCACTTAATAGAGTGTCCCTAACATGACTTGACTGATTGGCTCCGTTTTCATATGCCGACTGACGATAATTACCTTTCCAGCAACACCTCGCACTCGTTTCTATTAACAGCCATCAGAGTCTCTCGTTCGCGGGCGCGAACTAAATTCTTTGTTTGGAATATTGCAATAGGCGGAAAATTCGTCGTTTTAGTTGCGATAGCAACCACATCACTAATAAAATTATCTGGTGGAATAATACGACTGATCGATGTATAGATTCGTTAGGTGGTATGGACAAAGTATTAGAAAATATGCCTAATGGATATAATTTATCTTGCCTTATGAATCCCGTCTTCTCTAATTCTTGAGCTGTAAACTGTCGACCCATTAGCTTGAAGATGGGTGTTGGTCAATCGTTGATCGGGACCGTTCGTTATTATCACGAAATGACAATATGATATCTTACTAGAAGCTCGTTTGCAATCGAATATCCAAATATTCTTTTTTTTTTTTTGTAGGATAATAATGAGTTCAATTACATTTTTGCACGTCACGATGCAACGAGATAGTGGCTTACCTTGGAAACGTGTATGATGAACATCCTTCCGCGCAAAAACCTATAACGGTCACATCTCGTTAATGTGTATATAAATGCACGGCAAGTCTGACAAGAAAAGAGTATACATACCAAACTGCATGAATGGAGTAAGAAATATAGCATCAGGAACAGCATACACTACGTCACACAAAGCTAATGTTGTCATCCCAATTCCTATTGCTGGGCCTGAACGAAGTTGTTGAAAACACATTATTCATTACCATCATTTTAAACCGTTTGAAAGTCTCTGAATAGGCATACCAACCGTTGACAGCAGCAATAAGCAGCTTGGGAAAGTTGATTAAAGTATTCAACAATGATCTGTAATTTAATCAAGAGCGTTAAACGCTATAATTGCTAACATGCAGTCCGCTAAAATATACACATGTAGACCTTCCATAATGAACTTACTGAACACAAACTATCGACTCTTTGACTGCCTTTCTCGACTTTGATTCGTCTATATCGGCAGTTGACGCCAATTGGTGTCCACCCATATAGAGCTTGCCTTTACCTGTCAAGATGGTAACTTTGACTTCAGGTGACTGAGCTGCCCACATGAGAGATCGATCCCATTCCTAACACATAGGTTATGAATCGCCATTGAATGTATCGTACCAAAAATTAGATTCTACATACCTTGTAAACTTCTCCATTAAGTGCATTTCTATGAGCAGGCCGATTAAATGCGATAATCGCCACACCTTCGTCTGTCAATGTAATTTCGAAGTGTTTGACCCGTGGTATAGCCATACTTTTTTAAATGACAATTTTCTCGATTCTTTATACGATTGTCAAACATACCCACCTGACATGCCTATTTCGACCAATCCAAGTGCTTGCCAGCACTCTTTTCTGGGGATTTACAAAATGCAACGTCTTCACAAATGGCGAAGATAATTCTAGTTGTTTACATATATATGTAAACAGATGTGTGGGATATAATGCATTTTTGGACCTCGTTCAGTTATAAGATAAAAATCGTGTTTCGTGTGAAATGCGTGTTACAATGCTGACAAACTATTTTTGTTGGCAAAACATTGAAGTATCGATGAAGTATACCATCATCATTATGGATTCAATCGGGCCCATTATGCAATTATATTGTTAACCTCACTTTACACCAAGTCTTTCTTGATTGATCTTTACAGGAAAGATGTCATTTATGTATAGAAAGATTGTATAAATAAAATATGTATAAAAAAAGAAAACAAACACACCAACATATGTATAGAAATGTGATGGACAAATACAAAGGAAGAAGAAAAAAGAGAAAGAAAAATGAAAAGTGAAAAGAAAAAATAAAGCAGTTAAACGTATCAAAGTCTATACATAATTACAGATAATAGGCGGAGTTTAGACCATCAAGAAGAAAAAGTTTTTACAAAAGAGAGGTCATGATTTTTTGTTCTAACCTGCTTCGTTCAGAGGACCACAAAGTATGAAATAGGGAAAAAAATGGATAAAATATTAAACACCTATCGCACCGATATGATTTAGTACAAGATTAATAACGATAAACTACAGCAGCGATAGTAAATATGAAACCTACAAGACTAACCAATCAAATCCTTTTTGACATCTCTGAAAGTAGATAAAAATGATAATGAAAACCGAGAAGGTCTCTAAAGGAGACAACCCAATATTACAAGCAAAAACAAATAAATCCTCTCAAAATAAACATAATAAAATACGAAATCAATGATTAACAAGAACATGTATATATGTGATGATAAAAAAAAGCTATCCTTTGAAAGTGGAAAAGTATTTCGGAATAAAGAAGCAATCGAATATGGTAAAATAAAAAAAATAAAAAAAAAGACGAAAAGAAAAAAGGTGTGAATATGACCTAGAAATAAAAATATTTCTCATAATACAATTAAGAGATCACATACAAAATCTAATTCAACTACAAGCCATTGAGGACAACATTCATTGCATGTTGAAGAATAAAAAAAATTCATCCTTAGTCAAAACGTTCGGGTTCACGTCCTTCATAAAATGATAGGGAAACGGTAATAGGAAAAAGCAAATGAAACAAATTAACAAAACTGCCTCAATCTCAAGGGAGGCTACGACCTCCGTCACTTAGATCGAAGCCAATAACGCTACCTAAATCCTCACCAAATTTTATCTGGAGACGTTTCACCATCTCCTCAAGCTGCTGATTGCGCGTACTTTGATCGCGCACTTTTTGTTTGAGATCGCGAATATAATCGACTGATTTGCGGAGGATTATGCCTTTATTCGGTTTATTTGAATTGTCGACGTAGGTTTCAGGAAGAAGGGTCGATAGTTCTTGAATTCTCTCGTTGATGTGGTCCCGACGACGACGTTCAACTATGGATATGATAAGGGGAGGTAAAAGAAACAGTTAGAGATATGTAGTTTGGTATACAGTTGATTAGCTCACACCGATCTTAGAAATACTCACCAGCATTATGGGACTCGCGACGGCGGCGCTTTTTCTCAGTTTGTAGGGCCCTAATCGTTGTGTAAAAAACTCTTAGTATAATAATTGAAATATTATGATAAATCTTGTGTAAAATGTATTTCGTTATCCCCCGCCCTTCCCCCCCTTCCCCCCATCTCTCGACTGATACAGCATCAAACTCTCTCTTGTTTACATCAACTTGTCTAGCTTTAATCTCATTTGTGGAATACTCTTTCAGATTCCAAACCCACATTACACTTCCGCTTTTTCCATATACAATACTTACTGTTGCCTATTCACGTTGTCTTCAGTTTCGACTTGAATCATATCAGCAGTTACTAGCGACATATCTGTACCGGGAGAAAATTGTAAAGAACCAGCTCCAGAAAACGTACTGTGATCTCCCCAATCTTGAACTCTGTATACCGGCATTGATGCACTGTATGCTGGCAGACTAAACGGTATGGCAGCGGTAGTTCCAGGAAAACTGTTATCGGGAGTACAGAACGCAAACTGATTCTGATTCTGATTCTTCTTAACGACTCCCATCGGAAGAGCGCCAGTTGTGGTACTTGGAGCACTAGAGGAGAGATCAAACCCAAAGTCTGTGTTATCCGGTCCAGGAGAATATACAGAACGGTCTCCGGGCGATCCAAATGTGGAATCAACTTCAACGTTGTTGCCTGGAATAGGCACGTAATCGTCTATGTCATATGCGGAATTATTGGTTGGCGAATTAGGTGATGGATTGTGATCGTTATATTCCAATTCAGATGTCATGTCGAGTGCTTCGTGTTTAACAATTCGAGAAAAATTGGAGTTTGTTAATAGACCGGGATCTATAGTACCGGGATTAGAGTACGAGTTGTGTGGAGTTGGAGGTGCTTCATTACGGCTGCGTCTTTGAATTTGCTCCATATGAAGTTTTGTTGGGTTTGTTAGACGACTACCAGATTGCGTCTGCTGTATGTAAGGTGCGCCATACAGAGCCTGCTGCTGTTCAAATCCCTGTTGTCCTTGCATGGTTTATGGGCTGGAGTGGGCTCTATTAATTACGGCTACACTTTCGTTACAGGTGAAGGTTAGGAAGCAAGGCGTAGGGGAGTGTATTATTACGATTACTATTATGTATTATTATAGTCTTGTAGTTGTATATAGCTGTATTTAGTAGAATCTAGTGTTATTAGTAGAGAGAGAGATCTTTATTGCGTTCTAAGACGGACGTTATGGAGTGTTGTAATATTTTGTCGTAGTAAATATATTTGCAAAATGGAGTGTCGTCGCGCGACGGGTTTAATGTGATTACTTGCGGTAAAAAAGAGTTATAACAGAGAGTTTGGGATAAGTGTTAAAATATTCTCTACAAAAAAAAATTTTTTTTCCCACTTCTCTGGAGTGTATATATGAAATAGATATGTATATATTATCAGTTATAGTATTTTCGTCAATATATATGTATGAAGCTAACGAAGCGAGTTCTGTTGCGTTTATGTGTAAGAGCGAAGTACAAAACTAATCGAAGTTTGTGTGGAAAATGCTGCACCATAAAAAGTGGGTAGTAGCAATAAATATCCGGGGGTGTATAAACACAAAGGAATGGGGGTGTGCAGAGTATAAATAATAAATAATGCAAGTCAAATTATACGAATATGTGGCCAAAACTAAGACCATGTAGTATAATAATACGCACGTACAAATAATTAATAATCTCTCGACAATTGGCATTGTTTTTTTTTTTTTTTTGCAATAGATTATTTATTGCGATAATGCGTTCACTATGATTATATGGCACTAATGCTGCGGGAATAATTTCTAGGTCTCTTAAAGTCGATCGATGTTAGTTAGCACGAGCGATATGAGTGATATGGGTGATATGAGTGATGGTTTTGTATTAGAGTATGTGGAAATAATTATCCGGTCAATGATATTAATACACGTATTGATACACCTATGAATCGTGACGTAACATGTTAACCACATCCATCATATCTCTACCAAACTTAAAAACTTGCGACAATCGATGACGCGGGAAAACGTGTGGTCAAAGACAGAAATAAGACCGAGTGTCTATATTGACAACTTTGTTCATAGTAAAGAATATTCCCTAAACTATTAGAGCCGATGTGGCTATGGTTGTGATCTTTTTTAATGTTACCAGTGCTCGGGTGTATGTATATTCTTTGTCTATTACACACCCAAGCCACTTTGAACTCTTCATCTTCTCTGATTGGTTAATCTCTGATATCAAGCTTGCATCCACATCGAGTCTGAAAAGAATAGGGGATTTATGCACTCTTCATACAAAGACGTTTTTTTTTTTTTTGAAATGTCAGACATCTTGGCATTAATTCATAGATGAGAGGGAAATAGTGAAAGCTACACAAACACTGTTCGTCGGTTAATTATCACTCAATAGAGAAACTGCTGCGTGACAATAGAGGATAATTGTAACCACAGTGTCATTAAGCGCACAGTTGGTGTAATTGTGATTATTAAACGATGAATATATATATGTATATGTATATGCGACTATTACAAAACAAAACAGATAAGATTGTCTTTGATTATCAATAATTGCCACAATAACAACACATAATTATCATTGTGACTAAAAAAACGAGTGTCAATCTTATTGGGGTTAGCCGTTCGATGATACTTAACACAGTAGGATTATTATATCTGTTAAACTTGCATGCAAATCGAACAGGAGTATAAACGTAATAGCGGGGGGCGTATGCAAGTCAGTTTGTATCGAGTAATGATAATTGACAACCAAGACTTCGGCCTTACCAATTGCCAAACGTAACTTTGCAGTTAAGACTTTTTTTGCAGGGCTCTTTTTCGAATATGGACATGAAATAGAGAAAGCTCTGTCAACGATATTAAACAAACAATTATGAACAAGGGTTTCATAAATATGGGAAATAATGTAAAATAATAGTGACTTAAACATCGTGCTGTGCTTGTTTGCCTTAAAATAATAACTATTTATTCAATCCACTTTATTGCTTTCAGTCATTGAGTGGGTCCCCTTATCAGTCCAATGTCTATCCAAATGAGACAGTCTCAATTATGCCTCTTCCCCCTTTTTTTTTCTTTCGACCACTAATAACGAAGCTTTGTTTGCGGCAAAATGGATGTATAATAAAGATAGGATTATGATCATTTGACAAGCAAGTTGTTTTATTTCTTCATTGTCAAAACACTGATATAGGAAAAACACAAATAGCAATAGGAATTGCGATATAAGTCAACAGGTTTATTTGCCTTTCTTCAGAGCTATTCGGTATACATTACAAATACTCACCTTCATCATCAATCCATATTAAGCCTAGTCTATAACATATACATAGTCTCAATGACATCACTGACACCGGTTCAATGTCATACCAAATATAGCACATATTTTCGTAATGAAACATTGCACTAAAATATTAATATGTACATCACAAAAAGGGAAAATAGAGGAAATCTAGGGGGTTGACACTACACTCCGTCCAAGGAAGAGAGAGAGGGAGGTGGGAGGTAGGGGAAAATGAGAGAACGGCCGGCAAGAGAGAGAATGCATGTAAGAATTCATGGATAAAGAATGTCTGCTTCGAGTAACTACAATACAATGTCTTTATTGTTCATTTTACTGTCAATGCTTTCGACAATGTCTTGACTCCTTTGACAAACATAATACATTGATTTCTCACGTGTGAAATGTCGACTTTTAAAAAGCGCATCTTCAATCATCACAGCTAATTCCATCTTCTTTTTCTCCCAACATGGAATGTACCCCTAATACCAAATACTTATTCACTACCCACATCCTTCCGTTTCTGACTTGCGTCTGCGCCGTATATGCCTTAATTTAACTAGACGACTCGAGGAAACCCCCGATTTTCTTAAAATAAATATACGAGTGAAAACAATGGAATAACGGAGAAGAGCGAACAACAGAAAGAATCTGAAAAGGGGGCACAGAAAGGGTACATCGGCGTTTACGACGTCAAATATATGGTTAGTGGGTATGTATGATAACGTAATTGTTAATCTATCGTATTATTGCGGACTAAATTATCATCATATCCCTTGTCTATTGTTCCGACCTAATAACCTGATTTGATGTGTGGCTCTGACTTTATGTCTAGGAAGGGGGAAGTCTTATTATTTTTCCCCCTACTTTGTATATTGTACCCAGATTCAGCCGGCAAGAAATTTAATACTCTAGCAGAGTTACACTAATTATATTATTAACAAGTTTATGCCAAGACGTAATGCAAACTTGTGGTATTTTAACATCAGAAGTCTGTTAGCATTATACGACTACTTAAAATATCCATAATAAAAACTTAGGTCAGAAAATAATGCTCTAGTCCTACTAGTAATCGAATGGGTCAATCCCGTGTCATACAATAAAATTTTAGGTTGCATAGTGCACGAGCATTGCTGTAATGCCTAACAAAAGTTTTGTATTTTTGATTGTATATTCGATTTTAATTAGGCACGGAATTGAAGAAGTGATAAGACAAAATCTGTGTGATTTAACAAGTAATGATTTGGAACATATGGTTGCAAACTCAGTTTCATAGACGATAATCTACAATTATAGCAAACGTATCAAAAATATATCGCTTTCTAGTTACTATTGTGTATAAGCTCAAATTTTCAAAAAGTCTAACACATGTTAATGTCATAATCAACACTTATATTATGCAATAACACGTTCCAACAAAGTGAGAATGCGCAGGCACACCATTATCTCGAACTCTTATGGCTAACAATTCTACATGAATGATATTCTGTGTTCTTTTTCATCTCCTTGACACAAGATGGCATGTAAAAGGGGTTAATTATACTTCGCGAGAATGCAGATAACAACTTAATCAAACATAGTCTGTCTGTTAGTGTAACATCTATTTCGGCTATAATCGGACCGAAACATCTTTATAGAAGTTCTGCCCAACTTGTTCTACGAGAAAAGGGGATGTTGGAAAATGGATATTAAAAAAAAATTTTTTTTGGCACAATTCACAGCATTTAACGATAATGGCCGGGAAAACCCATTAGGTTTCGTTGTACAACCCTTGTATGGTAAGTCCAGATATTGATGGCGAGTTTTTCGTATCAATGGAGACTATCCCGCTATTAATATTTTAGTAGCCAATTTTGGCAGAGCACTTACCAATATGTCACACATATACCAGTTTAAACCGGATTCAGCCACCTATGCTTTCCCCTTATTGTAACCTCTTTTGTTCATTCCTAAATACGTATTCGTAACTATTCTACTATTATACCATTTCATTTGTACTCCAATAATCTTTAATCGATCGCGTTGGATTGATGTGCTGGTTGGGAGAGTGCTATGTTTAATTCAACGTGTTGTGGCAACACGTCTTATCCATACGAACTGTCGTCTACTCTAAATGCTACAATCGACCAGCACTTTATATAAGAGGTTGCAATTACAGTAGCCTACCTTGCTTCCATAGGAATATTGAATTATTTTAACGCAATATTTAATAGGTTCTCATTTTTTCTATTAGATGTTTTGGACGTACCTGATTCTCGTCAGTATTAAAGTTTGTCTGTTTGCATTATAAAAGTGAAGGCTACTACGGAGATAATTTGACTAGGCATCAACAGGAAACTTTTCAAAAAATAAAGTTACAGCATAACAAATATTTATTTGTGCTTAATACTACAAAGCATTTATTGTCAAGTAGGTCATTATCTATCGATCGGTCTTCAGAGAATACTGCCTGGGTAGAGCAAAGTAATTTATTTGCAACAACAAAATAATAACATTATTTATTACAAACTACTCGAATGCTGTAAATAGCATACAGTACACTCAAAGTAATAAAAATAACGTTTTAAAAACGAGCAAAATTTTGCATGTATTTTGCTTATGGTACGGTAAATAAGTTTACTTAGCAATTGATGTTACTACCATTGATCGTAATATTTTCCTGGCCAAAAGTCTCAGTTTCAAACCCATATCACTACTCAATTACTTTGGTATTGCTTTTAATTTGCTGATTGTTTTTTCTCCTTAGCCTATGATCGAACCAACTGTATTGCGTTAAAAATTTACGGTAAAGCATACAGTTTTATAATATTTGTAGTTATAGTTTACGAGAGATGTATCTACATCATATCAACGTTCGCAATACAAAAAACAACATGTAGTGCGTATGCTACTATTTTTGATAATGAAGAATGTTTTCGTAGCGTCCGCCAATTTTAATGCCATATTATAGACATATAAACATTCGATTCCGTATTTGTGTCACGCTCAGTTAATGTTGATCGTGACTTTGTCGCGTGTAAAATAGAATAAGAATCTAACAATAGACAGCTTTAAATGTCTGCATTTTGTGTATCACCCGGAAGTTACATAAACTCGATTACCTCAGACGAGTAATCTTTTGATCCTGTATGAGAATGCGTTGTACGGAGTAATTGTTCGCTCAACGCGGTTTGCATGTAGCCGATAAATTTCCATCGTCAGCAAAGTATTTCCGTTGCTGTTTATTGTCTAAATTTGGTTTGTGAGAGCAAAGGCCTACAGCTTTTCTTTAATAAATAGTGGTGTTTTTTATGCAACGTTTTATAAGTTAACGAATGGATCTTATATAAATCATATAAATTCAAAACACTTAATTTGGTAAGTCGTTTTTGCTGAAGTAGCCCTCAACTAGTCAGTCATTTGACTATTATCGTACATTAGTTTAATACATACAGTTATATTAATATAGACATTTAATTCTATTTCTTCCGCTTCACATTGCTACTATGATTACACAAATTATGGATATCGAACAATTATTGTTCTCAAACTGGCATATCTAGCAGCAAATTCTCTAGTCAGCTTCAGAAACAGACTTTTCACAAACAACTAAGCAAATAACCGAATAATATATCAAACTTGTTGCCATTGTTTCAAGTGTCACATTCCACTCACCGGCAAACTCATGGAGAAGAAAAAGGAGGAAAAGGCAATGGAGTTGTTTATAACAGCTGTGTTAAAAAAAGATATGTTTGAGAGCGGTCCAGGCAACCCCAGAGGAGAGGCATTCATTTCATCGACAATCATTTCGCCAACAAAATTTCGCCAACATTATTTCGAAGTTATCCTTTTTTGGTAGTTTTTGTCGGTGAAATAATTGTCGATGAAATGAACCGCCCACCCAGAGATATATGTGTTTGTGTTGTATGTCAGTTTGGAATTTATGTCCATTCCGAATGTGACATATGTCAGATTGGAATTTATGTCCGTTCCGAATGGACATATGTCAGATGAGAATTGATGTCCATTCCGATTGACATTATATGTCAAATTGGAATAGGAAAGACAAACAGATAACAATGCAACGTTATAAAAGTACTTCGTTAACATTACAATATCAACGCTGATTGCGCATAAACAATTGGGTAACTTGTGGTTGTTACTTGTATTACTATTGTATTTATTTTGTAATATACTTGCTTGGGTTCAATGTCGAACTTTTTTGCAGTACTCCTTAAACTATGATTACGTTTTAAATAATGTACAACCATTAGTTTCTCGCGAACGCACCAAGAACGACGTACCTTATAATTGAATTGCGCTCTGCGAATGGTGCTCTTGTCATAGTTATTTGATGTAACAAAATTTTTGATATGGTGCTTTACGCAGTTATGCGTATATACTCCTTCCATTAAAGTACCTCCCTGATGAAGTACCCGGGTATTATACAATATAGTAAAATTCTGAAAAAAAATGGGTTACAAAAAACGCAAGTCCAAACACGCGGCTTGGACACCTAATTCCCCCATCTATTCTCATGTGGGCCCAGCTAATGTTTAATCTCACAACCTGAGCTAATGCTGAAGAAAAATTCTGAAAAATAAATTATTTTTTAATACTTACAAAATAATTTATTCAACAAAATAATTGAAACATTCGATAAGGCGTATATTTAATTACCAAATCACTCGACTATAACATAGAATAGCAAAGTTGTTCGATAACCCGTCAGACAATAAACTTTTTTGTGACTTGTAAATAAAAATAAGCCTGTTTACAAAACAAAAGCAGTTATTTAAAATTATTAACTTTTAGTTAAGCGCATTTATGTCAGTAAAATTGCTTTAACTCTGTTTACTGATTTTTCCAAAAATCGATTTAATTATTACCAGTTTCTGTGAGAAAATAAGTCTTTGAAACTCAACGACAACCAATTTTGCACTACTGACAAAATAGCATTTTGTTCAGCAAAAAAAGTACTGAAATTTCCCTACGTTCGACTGAGAATTATGTTCAAAAAATGCAAATCCAATGAACGTAAAAAGGGCGATGGACGTCATCAAAAATTTACTTACAACTTGTCAAATTCTATTGGGTAAGTTGTTCGCTATAACAGTACCATTTTGACTGAAAAAAAAAAGATGTAGATAAATTGAAGTAATTCATGAGTAAGGAGTGGGGACAAAACAGAACAAATCTTATTTGTCTATAAAAGGAGATGTGACTAATTTAGAACACAACTACAAAGGAGAGAACAAATATATTGCACACTTATATGTTTAAAATATTTGCTTAAAGTAAATGTCAACTTTTTTCATTTTTGCAGCAATTACAACTTGAACTTTGTTGATATAGATAATATCAAAATTCGGTATACTTTTTGCGAAATCGCATTCCACTCTTCTTTAATAACTTCTCAATTTATGAATATCGATAATGAAACGGACGTATTCTTCAATTTTAATACTTATGAAGCAAGACGGCTATAATATTGATATTCTTAAGCTGATCACGGATTCTGGATAATTTATCCAAATTGACAGTGAGCTCAATCCTCAAATAAAATAGTTGACATGCCTGACTAACCAGGCAAGAGCCTTATGGTCCACAAGCGGTGAAGTGATTAATGGGTAACGAAAGGAATACCTCATAGTCACACCTCTTGTTCTAGTCTGTATCTTTAGCACGTTTATGTGTAGCTTGACAATACAGTTTACTCCAAAGCTTCATACGTACAGTAAACAGAGCCCCCTGACTTGAGAAGCAATTGACTGAGAATGGGATAAAAGAATATGAAAGTATCGCAAAATATAATTAACTATCAAAAGGCTAATCTTGTGTTTAAATGGTTAGAGAAATTCATGTGTTGTTATAATTTCCTAATTGACAACAAACATTGTTGTCAGTATGCATTTACCTAACTAATACCTGAACAGTCGGATCGGAAGTACTCAGTTTGTATGTCACACAAATTGGAATAATAAATAAATAAATAAATTTTTCAAACGCGTACATTAATATGTTTGCAATCTCATTAGTGAAGTCCATTATGTAGACAAATGAACAAACGTATATACAATATATTTATTAACAAACTTGGCTCTGTTTATTCTCTGAAGGTACATACTCATGGATTGAATACATTATTTATTATCTGACCAAGTAATCAAACCGCAAGCAGCTTACGCCTCGAAATAGCACTCGCTCCCCATCATTAACGTGTTAATTTCATGTCCGTCACCCAAGTAGCCGCTTGTTGAGTAACATCTTCAACCTCAATAATAATCTTGGTGGATTATTTGTAACAACGGTATCGGTTGCCATGTTTAGTGATAGAATCGGTTATCCAGCTAGGGCATGAACGTGGATACTTCGATGAGGCTGGAGATCTTTCTCAGAGAACAGATAAGCTTCAATCCTTGTGCAATGCGGCTTCGTCGACATGTGAATGTAACAATCATTTGATATCCTCCGTCTAGTAATATAATAATTACGGATGGTTAATGATGAAGTTGATATTATGCGCATCTAATCACGGGATACTAGTGACGAACAAAACGCTTACTTTGGCATCACTCTCATGTTCTCCTCGTATAAATTTCAGGTTTCTAAATAAACCACAGCATCCACCTGCAAATTCGTCTTCTTCCTCATATATCTCAACGCGTCGGTTGCTTATCGTGGAGAATCGTTTTACAAGGAAGCCAGTGTTCCTCCGTGGCGTTAACAAAGCTACCGAGCTTTTTCCGGATGCTACTAAAGACGATATTTGTAACAGTTTCGCATTATTAATGGAAGACCTAGGTGAATTCGAAAATGTGCCAAGAGTTTCCATGCTTTGATATCACCTTTGCATGGATGGTCGTAAACAATATCTTTTATAATTCGTATGTGCCTCGTGGGAAATGACTCATGACGTCGCGGTTTATTCCGTAACTAGCTTGTTTGTTGTTTTGACCGTATACACTTCCATGTGTGATCCTTGAACTATGAGGAATGTGATCTGGCGCAAACATTGACAGAGTTAACAGCATGCGTCAACTATACGCATTTATTGATCTAACTTAATTTATTTAAGGAATCAATAAATGACAGTTCGATGACGTTTCACGAAAATTACGGGAGTGAATGACGTACGAATATTCGTGTGAGTATTTTTAATCGATCAATAAAATAAACTAGTCGTAAACAGACTACTACCTTCTTCAAGGTTCCAGTATCGAAAGATTAAAAGTGTAATAGACGTTTCGTTTATCGATAAATATTAACGCATACGACTCAAAACTTGTTATCATGCTTGATTGGCAACTGTCTTAATGCTGACGTAGTAAGGCTAAAATGACAAAGAACAAGCCAAAGTGCACAACGCCAACTAATTTGCCCTAGGCATCTCACTAACTACTGTTGACACACGAAAGCATCCCCAGTTCGCTAACTGGCTGCAACTTAATCGGAATAAAGGATCAGCTGATATCTCATATTGTTTGTCTTAATACGATTTAATCGAATATAGCAAAGCATGCAGCTAATAACTATCCCAAGCAACTGACGTATTAATTTAACCTCATATGAAAAGCTTTATCACGTGAATGCTTACTACAGCACACTTTAAGCTGCAGTCTGAGATTCACTAATCCGTGAAATAAAAGCAAACAAATAATTTTCGTAAACAAATAAACAGTTTATTTGGTGTGTTCGTACTATTTTATTATTTCCCATATTTGCGTTCCGTTTGGTCCACGTCATGTGTGTGAAATTTTAATAACGAGATTCAATTGTGCAATTCGTTATCTCGTTCCAAAGTAAAAGAGGTCTCTTGATCAATTTAACCTGAATATGTGGAATTATTAGTTCAGATTCGTGGTTTTACATTTAACCCAAAGTGGATGTATTTCTTACCGTTACTGTTACTAAAAGTAAGGGTACATTGGTACAAAGTAGCGCAGAATGATGCAACGGTACCTACATCAAGAATGCGTTGCTCTGCATTTTTAAAGCATGTATCGCATTCTTTCTCCATAGTTTGTTTTTCTGCAAGTTGTGCTACCATTCTTTTCACTCTCAACAATGCCTCTGAATTAGGACCTTTATTTTCAAATTCATATGAAAATAATATAGTAGGTAAGACTTTTTCCCATTACAAAAAGTACATCCGTGGTTATGACAACTGTTTCGGAAAGCCGATAAGCATAATAATAAACAATTCCCTATCAATGTCGTACAAACAGAAAGATTCAAAATGGACATCGTGTGAATAATATTGCGGTTTACATTCGAAAGTTTACTCACGCTTCAAAATAAGTCGTGCTCAATTAAAAGGTTAGCAATGAGAAAAGTTTGAACTCTGTCAGCAGCTATCAAATGCACTCCGGAACCGGATATTCCGACTTATTGTAGCGCGTTTATAAACCATGAAGGAAACAGGCATTTTATTAAGAGTAATTGCAATCTGACGACTGGAAAGTTTAATAACAGAAACAAATTCTGTTTGACAGTAAGGATTATATAGGCAGACTGCAACAAAAGCAGACAAAGTGGATACATTCTATTATGAGAAGCTGATTATGTGGCTGTAAAATTGACCAGTGTGACTGATGACATTTTAAAAAGTAATAATGGTGCTCATTCATAACTTATAAACTTGTTAATTTTAATGTTTACTTTATCGTATCAGAATGGGACAAATATAACCATAACATATAACAGGATTGATATTAATATATGATTATTATTATGTCCATGTAAGAAAAAAGAAACTAATTTACATCAAATCAACTATTACTACGGAACCCAAGAATTACAGCACGATTAAAGAAAGTCAAGCAGAAAATTGTTCTTTATTATTATGTTTTAAAATTAATAATACCCAAACTCTCCAGGAATATCTAGATAATGAAAAAATTGCTTGTAAAATTTAGCAAGAAGAAAGGAACATTATAAATACTAAACACCAGCACATGATGAACCAGAAAATTAGAAGCTCTGCCTCCAACAAAGTTCTGCAGGTAATGACTTTATGACTTGGCATTGGGAATGTAGAGTAGTGTGTACATAGGGTAGAATAGCTGTACTTGTACGTGGGTATTGGGGACATAAAGTAGTGTGTATGTTGTATGTGTCAGTTTGAGATAATAGTAGGTTAATACTATTAAACAATGTCAAATACATATGTGTACTAATGTTATTAATTAAAGGTATTATATTCTTATAAATGAGTTATTGGTGTGTGTTATAATAGTCATTTGGTTCAAGCTTCTAAATAAGACTTGAAGTCATACGATTCATGATTATCGAACGCGATTTTGTTTGTTAAGTGTAGATCTAATCATGACATCATTGGACATTGACGGAACGGGAATTTAGCAGTTTAAGGTTAGATAGTAAATGCAATCGTTTTTTCCAGTATTATGCATCTAATCGTACGATGATTTGCATTGAGATATTGGTCCAAGTTTTAACATATAGTAGAATGTATTTTAATGTTTGTATTTTAATGTTTGTATTCCGTAAAATTCCTGGTATACGTTGGTTTGGTTAAACTGCAATGTAATCTAATCGTATGATGATTTGCATTGAAATTATTGGTTGATTATTGGATAAGTACGATGATTTGCATTAAATTGTTGGAATATGGTTAGACTGTAAATGTTGATCTGATCGTATGATTATTTGCGTTTAGATGTAAACATGACTATTGATCTAATCATCAATATTAGATTACATACAATCTGACAGATAAATGAGACTAAAACTTTACACTAATAATGTGATACGAATGCTCCGATA